GCAACAGGGAGCACTGGGGCCTGTGGTAAACTGAAGACTGCATGCTGACGCAGTGAGCATCTACTACTCAGCGGTAGCTTTCATTGCCTATAAGGGTATGGGCCTAGAGTGGCCAGATAGTCTGGTTTTTTAAAAGAAGCCAAAAAAGTTCACATTTCCTGGCTTTTAAATATAGCAACTCATTCCATTTAAAAAAGCAAAAAAAAAGCACTGTGAGGGCCAACAAGATTCATCTGCAGGCTGACTCCTGCCCATGGAATGACAGTTTGCAGCCTCTTTCCTAAAAGTTCATCCAGTCCAACTTCCCTTGAACTTGAGACCCCTCTAGAGCCCTGCAGTGGCACAGAGAGTGAGGGGGTCCCATCTAGCAGGTGGTTAAGTAAGTGCCTGGTTTGTATCTGTGTGTGGAAGGATGGAACTTCTGGCCTTCCCATCTGCCCCCTGCCCCCACCAGCCACACTGAAAATGCATTCCAAGCCCAGAGGCAGGGTGTGGCCCCTGCAGCCACAGCAGCCCACTCATAGATGACCCAGGAAGGACCACAATTTTCAGGCCAATAGGGACTGGTTAAGGAGTCCAGCTGAAACAGTAGAAAGAAAAGTGTGTAGAAAGAAAAGCTCTAGAGAAAGCCAGAGAGCAAAACTGTCTTGAGAAGGAATATTGGAAAGGAAAGAAGAACAAAAAGACAAGAAAGAAGAGAAAAAGGTGGGTGGAGGGAGGTTTAAGAGGGTAAAGAGGGGATAAATGGTGATGGAAGGAGACTTGATGGGGTGGTGAACACACAATATACAGATGATGTGTTATAGAACTGTACACCCGAAACCTATATAATTAACCAATGTCACCCCAATACATTCATTTTTTTAAAAAAGGCAAGAAAGAAGCATGCGCTCACTCTAAAAATCCCATAACCCAAAATATAGCATCCCCAGATCCTAGCCAGCCATCAAAACCAGCAGTCTGGCCACTCACCACCCACTTGGTCTGCTTAATTTTTCTTCACCATATTGACCTACTACATGACCTTTTATTTCTAGATGCCCCCACTGCACTATACAGTTCCAGGAGAAAGGACGGGGGAGCTTGTCTACTTTGTTTATGGCTCAGTTCCCAGTGTCTGGCACAGTGCCTGGCACATAGTAGGTGTGCTTAGCAAATATTTGTTGGACAAATGGGCTGCAGGCAAGCAGTTGGCACCAAAACAGTTTAGCGTTATGTGTCAACCACCTAATAATAACATCAGCACAGAACACCTATCGTTTAACTTAATTCAGCCAGTTTTCTTTTACCAAACTGCTTCGTGGATTTGCACATGGCCCAAGAGACTACTGGTCTCTGAGGTGGACAGTCCAAGAGCTTGCTCTGACAGGGCTGCCTGCACGGCCGCCCGGCCCACTCTCTCTCCACGCCTGGGAGACAGTGCGGCCACAGAACTGCCAGACTCAGCACTAATTGGGCCATGTCATCAAAATGATCCAATGTCCCAGGCCGGGTTCATTCCACCCCACCCGCTTCCTCAACCTGATAGAGAGGCAGCCACAGCATAAGGTTAAAAAGCTTTGGCTCTGAAGTTAGCTTTCCAGCTGCATGACCTTCGCCCTCTCCAAGCCTTGTTAACCTCATCCATCATGTGAGCATAACAATGATAATAGTAACAGTAATTACTTCCAAGGGCTCTTGTGCAAGTTCAATGAGATATTTCACAAAGAGCGCCCAGCACCGTGCCTGGGGCTTGGCTCAGGGCATCTGAGACGTGGCTATTGCAGCAGCAGCGTCATCATCCCCCCAGACTCCAGTGTTGCCACTTTCCTGAGTGACTTGACCCCCTCCTCCTAGGACCTCATATTCCTCTTTTCTAACATGGGAAACACCCAGTCACCAGGATGGATCAGGAAGGGGATAAACAAGATCACGCATGTTAAACAGCACAGGTCCTAGTATACAGTCAATGCCTAATAAATGTGAACTGGGAGGTTTTATTATTCAAGGGACTTTACTAATCTAAGATGCCTGTGTGAAAACCCACCGAAGGCAGTTTGCCATATGCAAAGAAGTATTTGGGGCATGAGGTTCTGCAACCACTTTATATGTTTCAGTTGCTCTAAGAATCAGCACCAGCACCCCAAACACCCACCCACCTTGAGTCTAACCCAGGAAGCATTTGGAGGTCAGTTCCCAGTGCAGGGCTGACCTTACTTCCTGCCAGCACAGTCTACTTCGCCCTCCCCGCCACCCCCTACCCCACCCCCACCCCCAGCGATGCTGCAGTGTGACGGGAGGGAGAGGCATGCAAATGCGCCCCAGCAATGGCTTGTTATCTTCACGGCCCGGGTGGCACGTGTTTGTGGGCACCTGTGAAGACAGCACGTCACTGTCAGGTACAGGGCCTATGTCACCAATTTGGGGGAGGCTGTGAAATGTAAAAATACTCAACCCAAATAAAGTCTGCCCCTTCCCCTCCACCCCCGCCACCACCAAAAAAAGAAGGCTTCTCCAGCACCTTTTGTAGAGGGAAGAGGTGGTAACTCCACTTCCCAGGCAAGTCTCTGGTGGGCCAGCCCCTGACTAAGGCTTTCATAAGCACTGAGGCCTCAGCAGCCCAGTGATGCGCCTCAGGTACTGGTTTAAAGAGTGATCATACTGTGGAACGACCCCAGAAACTGGTGCTTTTGAGATATGAGCCTGGGAAGGTGCATAGCAAAGGACCAAAAGCAAGGGCCCTCGGAAAAGAAAACAGAAGTTCCCAGTGCAGGTGAGCATTAGTGCTGGGAACACCCCCAGCCCACGCTCCCAGGGCTTGCCATTTGGCCAAAGGCCTGAGGTCCCCATCTGACAGCATAGCTGCCCACCTGGAAGGGAGAAGGAGCCAGTGGTGGGAGGAGGAGAATTCTAAGTAAGCCAAGAAGTGCTATCGACAGCACATTGACCTACAACGTTAATTCACAAGAATGTCATTACCATCAACTCTCATCTTGAAACCATTAGTGGGCATCTATAATGCATCTAATCTAGGTGTTTCAAGTGCAAATGTCTACAATAGGGGCCAAGCAGTTAAGTAAATGAAGGCAGCTGGTGGTAACAAAAGCAAAACCAACAGTGGAAGAAAAATTAAGAATAATAGGGAGGTGTGGGGGCCTGTGGCAAACTGGAAAGAGGAAGGAAGTGAGGGGGGTCTCGGCATTCTGTGTAGCTATTGCCTGAACAGGGCACCTGTGAGCAGATCTTCCACGGTTTTAATCAAAGAGTAAAATCCAACTTTTTAAGTGACGTGTTGGTTCAAGTTTCTTTTAAAACATTGTGCAGGCCAAACAAAACACATCTGAGAGCCAGATCCAGGATGCAAATGGCCAGTTTGCCACCCCTGGCCAAGCCCCCAGCAGCCCTTCTCTGCAGTTTTTATGGTATTCCTGGGGAGAGCAAGGGCCGAGCAGTAGCTGCATAACATACCCAACTCTCCCCTGCCAGTACCCAGACACCCTTCTCCACGCAAGAGCCCCTCTCTTTGGAATGTCCAGCCCTCCGAGCTCCATCCTAAAGCATGAGCCCCCTCCAGGGCACCTTTGCCTGTGAATGCTCCTCATCAGAACTGCTGAGCTCCTGATACTCAGCTGCTTCCCCCGTCCTGTCCCCCACACCTGTCCGCAGCCACCTCTCCCCTCCCACCACTGGCTCCTTCTCCCTTCCAGGTGGGCAGCTATTCTCTCAAGCCTTTGGCCAAATGGCAAGCCCTGGGAAAGTGGGCTGGGGGTGTTCCCAGCACTAATGCTCACCTGCACTGGGGACTTCTGCTTCTCACCAGCCCCCAGGGAAAAGCAGCTCTTCTGCAAGCGAGGCTCATGAGAGCTACAGCTGCAAGGGACCCGAGGAGGGAGTGCTCCATGTGTGGGTCCCCTGCAAACATCTAAGGCAGATATGGGTGGCTGAGGTCAAGCCCAGCTCTGGCAGCTCCTTGAGAAGAAAGGCCTTACCATCCTTCCTCCAAGTTCCCAGGTTCAGCTGCAGCCTGGGGCCAAGGGTATTAGAGCAATGACATGACTAATGATAATTTTAAAGATAATGCAATATTAGTGTTCTCTTGTGTGCTTTTCAAAGCATGTGCACAGTTCCATGATCTCCCTTGGTCCTCCCAACACCCCAGAGAGACTGACAATTTATTACTATTACCATTATTATTTTTAAAGACATCGAATTTTTTATTTTATTATTTTTTTCATCCTCACCCAAGGACATGCTTAGAGAGAGGGAGGGGGGGAGGGAGAAATATCAATGTGAGAGAGAAACATCGATAATTTGCCTTCTGTATGCTCCCCGACTGAGCATCAAACCTACAACCCAGCCCTAACCGGTTTGGCTCAGTGGATAGAGCGTCGGTCTGCGAAGTGAAGGGTCCCAGGTTCGATTCTGGTCAAGGGCATGTACCTTGGTTGCTGGCACATCCCCAGTAGGGAGTGTGCAAGAGGCAGCTGATTGATGTTTCTCTCTCATCGATGTTTCTAACTCTCTATCCCTCTCCCTTCCTCTCTGTAAAAAATCAATAAAATATATTAAAAAACAAAACAAAACCTACAACCCAGGTATGTGCCCTGAGCAGGAATTGAACCAGCAACCTTTTGGTGCATGGGACAACATTCAAACAACTGAGTCACTCCAGCTGGGCCCAATATATTATTATTCATTATTGTTATTAATTACTCTTCCCTTGGCCCCTCAAAGAATCAGAGGTTCAGCATCCTGTCCTCACCAGACCTCTCAAACTTTACCATGTCCATGAGTTCCCCAGGGGACCGTACTAAAATGCAGACTCTATTTCAGAAGGTCTGGGGTGGAGCCTGAGGCTCTGCATCTTTCACAAGCCACCGGGCTGCATGGATGCTACTGGTCCTCAGACCCCACGATGAACAGCAATGCTGAGGCCACACAGCGGGTGTGGGGCTAGTCCTGGGACTCGAACCCGGGCGTCCTGCTCCTGGACTCTGCCTGGGAGAACCAGGCTCACTCACCTCACTTTTCACAGGTTGAGGCCTCTTGCCCAGTTTCACCTCCAGGAAGTGCAAGGGGGCGATCATGGCCCCGATGTTGCGGATGTCAGCGTATTTCAGCTCCTCTGCAGTCAGGGCCGAGCTGGGGAGTCCGGTCAGGGGGCCGAGCCCTGGCAGAGAGCCCGCAGTCACGGAAGGGTCCGGGATCTGCCCAGGCATCATAGCAGGAGGAGTGGCAGTCCAGCCTGGAGTAGGCGGGAGAAGAGGAGCGTGCTGTCAGCCAGAAGAAGTGCTATGAGGGGCTTAAGCCCCCATGTCTTGCCAGGACCTCATCCTGTCTTTCACTAATAGCCCCCTCACCCCTTCCCGTCCCAGTGTCTCTCTCTCTGCCCTTATTTTGTTACGGAAGGAATCTTAATCCATTAATTCATATCAAGGTTCTCCTTGGCACTTAAGGTAATGCTTACTCCAACCATCGGCTCATTGATTCAGCATTCGCCATGTGCTTGGCACTGCACAGTCCGCCTATCAGCCCCATAGGACTGGGGCAGTGCCCCTAACACAGAGGAAGAAGCCGGGGCTTAGGAAGATAACTCACTCAGACTGTGCACAGTTGAAACTGTGAGAGCTGGGATTTAAACCACAGCCTACTGCCTCCCAAGAGGGTGGTTTAAAAGAGTGGAATCTCAAGCATCTTCGCACCTGTTTAAGAGGGAGCTATTTTGGGCCTGGCACGGTGCCTCCCCTCAAATCACACATCCCGTTCTGCATTCTTGTTAAGACACCCTGAATATGAAATGAAGCAAATCGAAGTTAAAGGTGAGTGTGTGCCTCTGGTCTCTATGAGGAGGAGATTGAGGCAAAGGAGATGCAATTAATTAGCCTCTGCTTTCCCCAGCGGAGCCCAGTACCAGCAAAGTCCTCCAGGGTCTCCTGTTTCTCAAAGCAAACACGTATTCCGGCTGTGCCAGACCCAAAAGGTTTGCAAGGGAAGACAGATTCAGGCATGAAAGAAAGACAGAAATTAGACAGGTCAACAGCAAGAGAATTATTTCTTCCCTCTCTTTTCTGGGAGAAGCTCGTGGGTGAGAAGCGGTTACTTCAAGGCACAGCTGACGGTGCAGAAAGCTTGTCTTCCAATAAAGCCAGACTTATCAGGTCCCTTTCAGGGCTCCTCCCATTCATTCATTCGTCCACTTAACCATCCATCCACCCGACGATGAGCAGGAAGGCACATCCTTTCTCCCCATCCGGAGCACCCAGTGTCCCCCAGGCCACCTCAGAAAAGGATCTGAGACTCATTCTCATTAACTTATAGTCTTAGAGCTGGAGGAGGCCCTGTGCTTATCTAAACCACATCCTCATTTTGCGCATGAGGAAGGTGAAGCTCCGAGAGAGTGAATGACTTGCCAAGGTCACACGGCTAGAACGAAAGAGCCAGAGCTGAACTCCTGGGCCCTGGATTTCAGGTCCTGCCCTTTCCTCGCTCCTGGGTTCCGAGTTAAGGCAGAAGGGATGACCTTCTAATAGATGTTCCGACACCAGCCCATAGTGGAGGCTCATCCTCCTGCACGGAGGGCCCTCTGCTTGGCCTCCCATTAAGACCCAGGCCTGGGAGGTTCCCTGAATAACCCCATGGCAGTCTGGGTGGGAGCCCAGGCATAGAAATGGCCCCTGAGATGCCTCACATGCGATTGGTCAATGTGCTGTGACCCTCCCTAAACCTGAGCTGGACTTGAGTCCAGGATCAGGAAGACAGTCTCTCCTCCACTCCCTGGAGCTGGGCCTGCAATGCAGAGGCCCACAGGGTGCCACAGCAGGAGGCTGCTCCAGGGCATGGTGGGTGAGCTGCACGGCTCCCCAGCCTTCCTCCAGGGAAAACAAGAAAAGGGCCAGTGTAAGGACTCATTCCTGTGTGGCAGGGGGATGCCTGGCAGGCAGAAGGAGTTGGTTTTAGGCTACCTGAGCCAAAATGACAGAGGAAACTCACCTTTCCTTCCCAGAAGAGGAGAAAACCCTACAAAATCCCCTTTTCTAGACCTGAATGGATGCCCCCAAGAAGTCACTGACCCCCAAAAGATGCTTAATTGAGCTAGTCAAAACAGACAGGAGATGTGAGGCTGGAAAATGCTCTGTGCCTGGTGCTTCAGTTGAATACAAACCCCTGAGAGGGGCCGGGGGGGCCACACTCCAGCAAAAACACAGAGCAAAATCCCCTCCTTGGCCAGAAGCCCCGGACCTCCCTGAACTGGAAGGACCCATTCTTGTGTAGCCAAACGTGCCACGTGGGCACTTAGCAAGTGGAGGGGTGACTTCAGGGGGAAAAGCAGCAGTCATGGCTGGTTGAGCCACATGACCCCAGCGCGTAGCATCATTTCTGGCATAAAAAGAGTAATCGACAAAGACTTAGTGAATTCTGAATAAGTGAATGAAGGAAGGAACAAATGACAAACTCACGGTGGAACAAAATTCAGTGAGCGGGGTCAGGACCTATCTCTGGAAGTCTGGATGCTCGTCGCCAACCTCCCGATGATTCGTTCCCACAGTGGACCCCAAGAAAAACACCCCGAGGCTCCTGTGTGCTTCCCTGCCTAAGCCATCTCTGAGAGATGGAAGCCAGGCCCCACTCTGTTCCGGGAATGATAGGCTCTGCCTGCAGCTTCTGTTTATTTTCATACAGATGGTATAAATGAGACACTAACAAATGGTCCCAAAATATCTGCTACTGTGAAATCCCCCCTCCGAGAGGGGTAGCCACTCTCTGGGAGCAGCAGCCTCATAAATTCTTGCCATTCCTGCTTCCCTGTGAACCCAGCCCAATGACAAGCCTCACTCAGGGGATCAGGCTCCAGGCTTTCCTTTGCAGAAGCAAAAAATAAAAAATTTAAAAAAAAATGCCCCTCTCTTTCCTTCCCCCGCAAGGGCGCCCCTCACTGCTCAGATACAAACCACAAAGTCCTTAACACATGCCATTCCTAGGAGACAACCACAGCAGCTGACATTCACCAGCGAGAAGTCATCCTAACGGCAGAAGATGGAGGAGGTGGAGCGGCTGCCTCTCATAAGTGGATCCTCATTAACTGGGAAGAGCTGGCTGATGATCCGAGGCTGCGAGGCCACTTTGGCGATATGAAAAATAAAACAATTTGATGTGATTTAGAGATCTCTAAAGGGGGCGGGGGGAGAGACAGTGGCGGGGAACCAATAACAGCCAGGAGGAATTTACCCACTTCAAGGAAGACATAGGAAAGATGACAAGAGGTGAAATCATCTCCCAACTGGTTGTTCCATACGGAAACAATTTAGTAGGAAAAGGAGAACTAGGCACTAAAAGCTTTAGGGGAAGAACCCAGAGGTTTTTTTCTCCCCCTTCGGGGCCCAGGAGGTCCAAAAGGCAGATAAACACCCTCCATGTTTCCATTAGTAACTGGGATGCATAAATAAAGAGCAAGTGCTATACATTGGCAGAAGACCAGAACTGGCCAATGAAGCTTATGCCTCCAAAGACAGGCTTAGAATCCAAGAAGACTTTGGCAATTTGGGACACTGACCAGGAATAACTTGGAAACGAGCCCATGAAGAAAAACTGGGTAATGGACAGATCAAGATGGGACCGACGAGCAAGGCATGGATAAGACAGAAAGCGTGCAGGAGGTCCCCGTGAGAGCCGCTGCTGAGCCCCAAGAGCATGAATGATTTGATGCAGGTCCCTAAAAGCCAGCTTCGGAGAAACAGGGAGCGAGTGGATCCAGGGGGAAAGAACCTGAAGACCTGGTATTGGTATCGCTCTATTCTGACTTCCTCAGGGATGGTAGGCACACCGTCAGGGGTGCTGCCTTGTATAAGCAGAAAAGCCAGAAAACATTTCAAGTCCAGAAAATGGACCCTACTGGGAGATATTAACATGAAACATCATTTTTTAGCTGAAAGAAAAAAAAGATACAGGTAATTTGAGTTTTCCCCCTCTTGTTTCACTGTATGTAAATCTATAAAATATCATATTTTTTAAATGGGAGTATCTGCAAATAACAGTCTTGCTTTGATGGGTCAATTTTTACGAGAAAGTGCCAGTAATTGGTATCTCCATCTAGAATGGCAAAGATGGATAAAAAAAAAAAAAAAAAGACAGGTTAAGAGAAAGTTAGGATCTGCATCATGAAAGTTAGGATCTGTCCATAGAAACAAAAGTTTAAGGGAGGCTTTCAAGTCCCTGGGCCTCTTTGAGAAGGTCAGCTCCGCTCCAGGCAAACAGCTAGCTAGGCGGGCATAAGGGGCCAGGAATGAGTGTGCAAGTGAGTGCAGGGTTCGAAATAGCGGAGGTGAGTGAGGACAGACAAGGAGCAAGGCAGTTAGTTCACAGGATCAGGCCCCAGGAGCACTATGGAGTTGGAAGAGCAGGTAGCCAGCCGGCTGGTGTGGCTCAGGGATTGAGCATCGACCTATGAACCAGGAGATCACTGGTTCGATTCCAGGTCAGGGTACGTGCCCCAGTAGTGGGCGCGATCCCCAGTAGGGGGTGTGCAGGAGGCAACTGGTCGATGATGTTTCTCATCAATGTTTCTATCTCTCTCCCTCTAAAAAAATAAAATAAAATAAATTTTATATATATATTTAAAAGAAAAAAAGAGAGAGAGAGAGAGAGAGAGCCAGTAGCTAGTACCTGGGAATCATCAATAGCAGATGGGTGGTCTTGGGAGCCGGAGCGTGGCAAGATTCCCAGGAGGACACAGTGTGTGTGTGTGGGGGGGGGGGGGGGGGGTTGTGGGAGGGGAGGGACAGGGGAGACAGTACAGGAAGATGCCAGGCCAGTGATCACAGAACATAGTAATAACTATCATGAATCTTGGAGAATTAAACAGTAAACTTGTTCTTGGAGATAAGGAATTATCTGAAATGATCTCTCTCCTGGAGATGCAGAAGGCAAGGAGCAAATGGGTGGAGAAAGCCCCTGAGAACAAGGACGAGCTGAAAAGGGCCTCTCCAGATGGCTGTCCCAGCTCTACAGGCAGGAGAGTGAGACGGCTTACGGGTGGGAGCTTTGGAGCCAGGTCAGCTCCATGTGCAAACTAGCTCTGCCCCTCCCTCGCTGTGTGACTGGGGCAAATTCCCTCACCTCTCAGGGCCTCGCTTTCCTCAGCTGTAAAGTGGGAATAATAGTGTGATTTGCCCTATAAGGATGAAAGTGATGAAAACTTGGAAAGCACCTGGAACAGTGCCTGCCCCAGTGAGCATGAAGTCAGTGTAGCCACAAGGCCCTTCCTTCCTGAAGGACACACGTGCTGGCCGACCCCGCAAGGTCATTTCTAACACTGGTCTCCTTTTCCTACAGCTATGAAGAGGATCCCCCCAGAGGATTCACTGCTCTCCCACTTTCCAGCTCTAAACCCCCAGGGGCCAGGACCATCCTGTATCCAGTCGGTTCCTGCAGAATAGCAACAAAGGGGGGCCGGTCGGGGCTGTGCACAAGGGTGCAGAACCCAGGCCCAGCACTTGGCCTTTGCCCCAGTTTCTCCAAGGTCTCCCCCATCCTACATTCCAGAACACAGCTGCATAGATCGCTGGCACCACCAGCTGGCTGGGTTTCCACCCCTGCCTCCAGGAGCAGGGGGCCAGCATCTTCTGTGTCCTTCTACCTACTCTATCCTTGTACTGCTTAGAAGGGGTGGCTCCTCAGATCTGCCTACGAAGAAAAAGAGGGGTGACTGCGGTCAGAAGCCACTGCCAGGCATGGGCATGCGTGACCCCTGCACAGGCATCCCAGCTGTGGAAGAAACTAGAACCTCTCCCCAGGAAAGGCTCCTCCCAGGAGACCAGAGAAATGCTTCAACAAGGCCTTGTCTGTCGGCACGGTCTCCCCTGCCTGGTGTAATAGGTGTTCAGCAAACACACAGGAAGTTCCTTCCGCCAGGAATCCTTACCCCGAGCTGCAAGATGAAGCTGGGAAAGTACTGCCACCCGACAAGCCTCTATCCTCTCTTCCCTCTTCGCCCCATCTCTGTTCCTTGGCTGCAGGAGCTCAGAGCATGATACATTGCACAGTCATACACACAGTGTGTGTGATAAATCCGTTGGCACTTTTTTAAAAATGCCACTGGCCCTGCTGAAGCTTTGGAAACGAAGCTCCACGACTGGAACCCCAAGGGCTGCAGCAAGAAAACAGACTTAAAAAAGCCCCAGAACGGTGGGCTCTGGCCGGGCCTCCCACAGCCAGCAATGAGTGTAAAGAAACACAGGCCGAAATTCCAACCTGGGTCGCTAAGGCATTTGTCTCTGCTGAGCTCCGAGAGGCCAAACCACACACACGCACAAGAGTGCGCACACACATACACACACAGGCACACGGAGCTTGGCAGCCCGTAAGTTCCAGAGCTGGTAACACAAGCCACGGAACCGACTGCCAAGACAAGCAACAGAAAGAGCCAGGCCCAGTTTCATTGGCCACCATACGCTGCATATGGCCCGGGACGCAGCCAAAACAGTGTTCTCACCCTCCTCAAAGGCATAGGAGACCCTCTGTTTTCAAACACACCTCCACAGAGCCTTAATTAAAGGAAAATGGAAAAATAATGTGTCTGCTGCTCTCCCCCTGCCTATATAGGTATACACACACACACACACACACACACACACACACGCATATTCATACACACTCACTCTATGTTTCTCTTCCTCCCATTTCAGTTTCAAACATAATTCATTCGCATGGAAAAAAGCAAACTGCATCCTGCAGCAGAAAAGCAGAGAAGAATGTTGCCTGCCCTCAGCCCTGGCTCTGAGTGCTCCAGCTGAGCTGGGGCTGAATGAATACAGAGCAGGCCAGCCTAGAGTCTGCACTGACCCCTCTCTTCCAGAGCAGAGCTGGAAACAGAAGCCCTGGTGAGAGAGACAGCCCATTGCAACACCGGCAGACCCACGGCAAACAAGGCCTGGAGAGCCTGGCCCCTCTCATCCTGCCAAGGGTTCTGCAGGTTGGAAAAGATGCCCGCACAGCTTGCAAACAGGTGGGGGAGACAGACGCTGGTGGCTGCAAAAGCTTAGGCAGTGAGTGAGTGAGGAGATCCTGGTCCAAACCCTTCCCTAGGGGACACCATTACCACTTATCAACCCATCTCCTTAGAAGTGGCTGCAAACAACGAAGGAGAAAAGTCAGAGGCCTCCACCCCCACGCCTGCCAGCAGCCTTTCAAATCTCAGGGCACCCAGCTCTTCGGGAGGATTCTGGAGCTGCCTGCAGCTCTGAACCACAGCCAAAGTGGAAGGGGAACAGAAGACTCTTTGAGAAATCCGTCCTCCCTGTTTCAAACAAGGCAAAACCTTAACCAGCCAGAGGCAGGAGAATAGACCTTGCTTCTCTTCCCAGGTCCTCGGGTTAATCAGAGCCATGCTCACACCTGATACCGGGCTAACTCTCCCCCAGAAACCTGCAAAGGAAGATCAGGCAGCAGTCCAAGCTGCAGCCAGATTTGCTGGAAAGATGAAAGCAATGGGAGGTGTTTTTTAAAACCTTCAGGAAAGGGAGGTTGGGGAGATGATATGTGAACACAATTCACAGCAAGGCCTTCCAGGACAAGCAGGCACCAGTCGTGGCTCAAAGCTATTTCTGAGGCTCCTCAAACCTGAGGAGAGCCCACCAACTTGGCTGCACGCACCCTCAGTCAGCAAGCCCCTTTTTTGAGTGACAGGCCTGGGCTCATCTGCATTAAGCACATGTGCTCAGGACACAGGTTGATGCCCTCGATGCCAGCAGGGAGGTCTGCCCACCGGGCCAGGATCAGGCAACCTTGCAAGTGCAGCTGACCCAAAGGGTGAGTTAATTTCCTTCCACCAGCCTCTTCATTTCCAGCCTTATGCATGGCCCGGCCATCCCAGCAGAAGAACCAAGGCCTCCCCATCTTCCCGGTCTCCCAGGGTCTGGGGTCCTGGCCTTAAGACCCAATCCCTCAGCCTCCTTTGAGGGGAGGGGCATAAGAGAGCCTGCTAAACTGGGCTGGTCAGGAGAGGAGGGGCTGGTTACCTAGAGGAGCCGGCCTGCCTCCTTATGTAACCTGGCTTGGGAGCCCCCGCCAGGGAACGCAAAGGGGACCCGGGCCACCCGCTAGGCCTCCTCGCATCCCAGAACCCGGGAGCAATGCCCCAAGAGAAGCATTCTTCATTGGATGGGGAGGCCCGGGCCTTCTCCAGTCCTCAGGGAGGCACGCTTCCTCCCTTCGAGGGGGTGGGGGCGGCACACTTGCCAGCCGGTCACTGTCATCCTCCTCCTACCCCCCCCCCCCCAGAACCGTGACCTCCCTGGCCTTTCACCCTCCATCTGCACCCCCAGGCCCGTCTCCCCCAGGCAGTGTTCTCCCCACTCACCGCCTTCCCTGCCGCCCGAGGCGAGCACCTCTCTGCAAACGCTCGGGGGAGAAGAGCGCTGGAGGGAGGCGGAGAGAGAGCCCGGCTGCCTGGGAGCAGACGGAACCTCCCGTCCCAGGGCGGGAACCCAAGGGACGCCACCGGCTTCCAGGCGCTTCTCGGGAATGGCCCGGGCTGCAGCGACCCGCGCCGGGGCTGCGGGAGCCTCCCCGCGGGGCGGCGGGTTCCGGAGCTCGGCGCGCTCCGCCCGCGCGGGGGCGGGCGTCCCAGGTGCCCGCGGCCGGCGCGCCCCACCCCGCCCGGCCCGGGCGCCCCCACGCGCGCGCGCGCACCCACCGTGCAGAAGCCGCGGGCGGAGGCGGCGTCCCCGGGGCCCGGGCCCGGCTGCAGGCGCCGTGCCCGCTCAGCGCCGCTGCCGCCCGGCCGCCGAGCTCCGCCCGGTGCCCAGGCCCGTCCCGGCCCGGGAGCCGCCGCGGCGCCAGCCCCGCCGCCGCTGCAGCGTCCGCCGCCGCCAGCGCCTCCCGTCGCGGCCGCCGAGCGTCCCTCCCGCAGGCTGTGGCGGGCGGCGGGACGGGTTGCATCAGCCCCGGCTATATAGCGGCCCCTGGGCGGCGGGGAGGGGTCGGGAATGCGGAACCCGCCGAGCTGCCAGCTCCAGACGTCAGAGGGGGACGGAGAGGAAGGGAAGGAGGGGACAGGGGAGGAGGGGGTGTGGATCCGGCGCTTCACACCCACTGACCTTCACCTCCCCCGCCGCCTTTCGCGCCCTCCTCCCGCGGCCGCTCGCACTGCTCTCCCCGCCGGGGCGGCTGCGGCCCCGCGGCACCAGCTGGGGCTCCATCGCCGTCCCAGGCTCTCCCAGGAGCGCGCGAGAAAGCAGGACGCGGCGAGCGGTTATGTAAGAGCATCCCCCCCACCCACCCCGCGCACAGCGGCCGGTGGCCACCCGAGACAGGAGACAGAGAAATGAGAAGGCGGCAGCAGGACCGGCCGAAAGCCCCTTGAAGCCTACGCAGTCTGTGCTGAACCATCTTCCTAGATCCCAGCGCTTTTTGCCAGACCGAGAGAGAGCATTTCAGCACATTTTCATCCTTGGACACTTCACGACTGAGTCAGCGAGGAAGTGATCTCGCAAGCCGGCTTTATTTTCCCACGAGAAGGATGAGCAGAAATGAAGGCATGTGGGTGCCTCTACCCCACCCACTAGCCCACCTGGCCGCCATACGTGCCTTAAGCCCCGGGGCAGCTCGCTGCAGGAGGCCTGCCCTCCACTGCTTTCTCTTTCTGGGTGGCCAGCACTGTTTGACCTGGGCTGTTAGTCCTACTCTGTCAGCTTCTCCTTTCCTCTCAGGGCCAGAGCACACCCAGCCCTCCTCCCACCGCGAATGGCCTTCTTCCCCATTACAACTTCCATTGCCAGCTCGACTCCCACCTTTCATCTTCCCAGAGTGGTAGACGGTTCAGGGAGAGTCCAGAGGACATGTGTGTTCCATGGTGCCCTCCAGTAAGTATGTAAAGCCCGGAGACCTCCAGCACACGTGTGGCACCTGAGACCTTGGCACCATGGTTGGCATCTCCTTACCTCCAGACGCCCTGGGGGCTCAGCCAACCCCTTACCTCTCTGTGGAAGCCAGAAAGGGGTGACTGTTTATATTCAGTGACTGTCGGCCTCCTTCTCAAGAGTGAGGTCAGGTCATCACCCAAAGAAGAAAGGAAGTGAAAGAAAAAGTTCATGCCTTCTTGGAGTGCAGATGTTCAGAGTGAAAGAAACAACAGTACTTGAGACAGATGGGAGCAGTAAGCAAAACCAAGTGAGCTTGTCTCTGCAATGCAAGTGTAGTGAGGTTTTCTTTTCCTTCTCTCCCCCGTGCAGTGAAATCCCTCCGGGGAAGAGGCCTGGAAAGGCAGATCACATCCCCGATGACATTGCCTGGCCGTTTTCACCTTCACGGTCAGATCTCTCACTCAAAGCATTGAAGTTAGTAAGTAAAAAGAAAGTAAGGCCCTGAAAGACTCTACAATGCAAAATGAGTAGTAATTTGCTAGTTTTGTGGACGAACATGGCTCTTGGCATCCGAAGGGCCAACTACACCTTTACGGCAGCATAAAGATCAAAGCTGGGTTCAATGAAACTGCCTTATGATGTTTCCCCCATGAGATGGAGGTCTGGACATTTATATGGAAGAAAACACTGAATAGGGACAGTGTTACTTTATGCATCTTTGTCTAGGACTTTGAGAAAACTAACCTGATCTATGTGTGGGGACTAATAATTAGTATATGTGGTTAGAGCAAGTCCTTTCCAGGGATTGTTTTGCATGTAGCTAGGCCTTTGCTTCCCCCACAAATTAAATATGCTACAAGGAAAGCACCAAGGGATGACTTGGGGGGTCACTAGCCCCCTCCATTTCCCTGTTCTATCCATCAGGTCTCCTCCATTATTTGATGTGGATGGTTTTCAATTTTATATAGCATGCTATATGCATATCACTTCAGAACCTCCCTTCTACCACATTGCCCCCCACTCGGCCCCTCCACATGGTCATTGCCTCTGGAAGTGGCTGGAGGGCGAGGCCATAGTGGGCCCATTTATGTGGACATGGGCCTGCTTCTCCCTGCTTTGCTTGGATGGAGCTCCTCTACCACTGGCTCTTAGGGGTGGACAAGTGACCCCTAAGGCTGTTCGAACTTAGGTTTCCTATCACTTGCAACTAGAAAAGCCCTGATTAATACACCCAGCCCTGGCCAATGGTCTGGTCAGAGATTGCCAAGTATCCCAAATTAGTCCAGTGAGACTAGGAATTTTGTGGATCTGCCAGGAAGAGAAGCAGCCAGAAACTAGACCTGAAATTGCCAGAAGCTACCACATGGAGGGAGTCTACTGAGGCTGAAGCTAATGCAAGGAAGGGTAGAGCCAAGCAATGGAGGCAGCGAGAGCTCCAGTTCGGATAGCATTGTCTGAGCTCCGGAGCCTGCCATGCCCGGCATTCTCCCCACCTCTGGAGGTTTTAGTTCTAGGAATCAGTAAATTAGATCTTACCGGAGGCAGTTTGAATTTAGGTTTCCTATTACTTGCAACTAGAGAAGACCTGGTTAATACATTGGTTTTTGCATTTCTGGCTTATTTAGACAATTACATTTTTTAAGTTGAAACTTTATTATTTCTTATTATTTTTTTTAACCCTCACCCAAAGATATTTTTCCATTGATATTTAGAGAAAGTGGAAGAGAGAGGGAAAGACAGAAACATTGATGTGAGAGAAATACATCGATTGGTTGCCTCCTGCACACCCCAGACCAGGGCCTTGGCTGGGGAGGAGCCTACAACCCAGGTACATGCCCTTGACCAGAATCGAATCCAGGACCCTCCAGTCCGCAGGCCAATGTTCTACCTATTGGGCCAAACCGGCTATGGTGACAATTACATTTTGAAGCTTAATAGACATTGGTGAATCCCATGCTCTTTGCAAACAGGAAAATATGCACAGGCAAGACAAAATAATTAATTCCCTGGAGGTGTTCCTCTGTTATCAAAGGAGGAGCTGATAGTTCTGAGTAATCAACCAGTCTTTATGCTAATTTTTTGGAGCTCTATTATGTGCCTGGGAGGTACATAAAGTTTAAGACATGATCCCTCACCTGTCCCCACCTCCTACCTCGTTAGAAAGAATGACCTGAACACTAATGAACAGCAAGACAAGGATTAACTAAGAACTAGTATGTGACATAGACTATAAAAACAGTAGGAGTTGCCCTCATCGGTTTGGCTCAGTGGCTAGAGTGTCAACCTGCGGACTGAAGGGTCCCAGGTTCGATTCCAATCAAGGGCATGTACCTTGGTTGCAGGCACATCCCCAGTAGGAGATGTGCAGGAGGCAGCTGATCGATGTTTCTCTCTCATCGATGTTTCTAACTCTCTATCCCTTTCCCTTCCTCTCTGTAAAAAATCAATAAAATATATTTTTTTTAAAAAACTGTAGGAGTTTAGGTAGGATTGCTGCACATAGAAAAATCGTTCATTAATTGATCCATTCTCTACTCAAACTGGGCAGACACAAAACTGCAGACTAGTAGTTGGCAGGCTGAATTTGGCTATGTTGGTTCAACCTTAAATTCTTTTTATATATATATCAAAGATTTCTCACAAAAATCTGAATTTCTAATTTCTCTTGAAAACAATCAGTCAGTTTGACGCAATCTCCACCCGGCCTACCAGGTCATTTCCATGGCCTGCCTAGCCCGTCGGGGCATTTGATTTTACAGCTTCTGATACAGATAAAGCCAATGTGGTCGTTATCAGTCTTTCAGGTGTCCCTGGTGTTCCCTGGCATTAAAACATTTGCTTTGATTTGCTAATTTAAAAATAATACTATAGAGAATTCATAGGTGAAGGGCAGATGGTATCATAAGATCCAACAAAAAGTTGAGGCTAGCTGTTATATTTTCTGCAAATTGCACAGACCTGTTTACAATGGTTTTTTCCTCCTGCTCTTCCCTTGCTCAATCAAACACCTACCAGGAGAAACCAAGGTAAATGAGCCTCTTGAAAAAAAATCAAAGTCGGGCAACATGAGAGGAGAAGTGGCATGGTAGAGATTTGGGGTGTGTGGGGGGGGGGGGGCGGGGGGGAGCGTCTAGTTTAAAGTTTAATATATTTGAAATATTTGAGAAGAAAATATGTAAATTGGGAATGAGATGACTTCTCTGTCAATAACCACCAATGAGAATTTTATTAAACAACAGTCAACATGTCTAAAGGTTTAGTAATAAATCAGCACCCATAGAAATGCAGCCGTCTCTGAGGAAAGCCCAGTATCTTTAATCTCCTTACACAATAAGTCTTTGGAAGGTGAAGAGATAGTAAATTCTCTGGTAAAATGCTGGCCAGGTGGGGTTAGGGAGAGGAGGACTGTGGTGGATGTATGTTCTCCTCAGTATTTCTTTCTGGGTTTTTTTTGTTGTTGTTGTTGTTTGTTTGTTTGTTTTTGGTGTTTTTTATTTTTGTTTTTGTTTTTGAGCATTCCTTTCTTTGGAGAACATTACTCTCCCTCTCCCTGTGTCTCTGGAGAGGTGCCAATCCTGGTGTCCCATCATCTCCAACCAAGTGTGGGTGTATGGCCTAAGCTGGCCAATTAGAGTAGTTAGTCCATTTCCAAAGCTACAGTGATTGGTTCAGGGATTGGCTCATGACCCAAACAGGGCCAATCACAGTCTTCCTTAAGATTTGATATGTGAATATTAAGGAAGAGGGGAGCAACCTTCCTCTAAAAAAAAAAGGTTTTTTTTAAATTCATTTTACAGAGGGAGAGAGAGAGATAGAAACATCAATGATGAGAGAGTATCTTTGATCGGCTGCTTCCTCCACACCCCACACTGGGGATCGAGCCTGCAACCCGGGCATGTGCCCTGACCCAGTATCGAACCATGACCTCCTGGTCTACACTCAAACACTGAGCCACACCCACTGGGTAGCAACCTTTCTTTAAAACACCTGTGCAAGAATGTAGTTTATGTCTGTCCACCGCCATTTTTCCTGCCATGTGACAGAGCCTGACTGAGAATGTAACTAATACAC